CTGAGACATGGCCCCTAGCTGCCCTTTAGGTCTGGAATTGAACCCACGCCTGTGGCTTCCAGCCAAACAGTAGACAGGCATATGAGTTGAACATTTACCTGAGGTAGATCACTCCTTGGAGAGATCAATCATGGGAGAAAGAAGGCCTGTTTATGCGCAGGGAGACAGCTTAGGGCGGCAGGAGAGCATGGAGGGATGGGCACAGGGAAGAGGTAACTATCAGGAGGAAGTAGGAGGGGAGCTGTTGCACCGGGGTAAATTGTAGTCAATGTCAGAGACACAGTGCATGTGAACGACTGTATGGAAAGTGAATTTGCTTTGTAATCTTTCACCCAAATCACAATTTAAAAAAAAAAAAAAAAAAAAAACCACACGAATACTAGTAAAGATTTGGGGTAATTTAAGTGTGTGAAGGGTACCTCCTTCCAGAAGCTGGGCTGCTCTGCTACCCGTGGCTATGCTTCTGGTCTGAGAGGTTTGATGGATGTCCAGCACAATTCACTACCACAACTTAGTCATTGCCACAGCTCTCAGTACACACACTTAAAACTGACATGAAAGCTCATGCTTTTTGTTTATTAATGCCATGAGAGAGGAGGCAGTTATGAGGTTCTAGAAAGAGCAGTGGTTGGCAATGAGTTGTCCTTATAGCCTAGCACCCAAGACCACACCAGGCCTGTGGCCAAAAGGGGACACAAAATCCACGTGTTCTTCAGTTTCCCAACCCACAAAGTAATCCAGTTCTCAGACCTCCCGGGCCTATGGAGAATTTAACACTGGGTCACCGCAAAATAGTTGCTGTTATTGTTATGTGCCATTAAGTCAGACCTGACTCATAGTGACCCCTCCTTGGGTTTCCGAGGCAGTATCACTACAGAAGGAGATTGCCCCATCTTCTTTCCGAGGAGTGGCTGGTGGGTTCGAACCACCACCCTGCTGGTTAGCAGTCAAGTGCCTTAGGCACTATGCTACCAGAGCTCCCTATAGATGCTGTTAAGAAGTATAAACTTAAACTTCTGCACTGGAAAAGGTGAGGAAGGAGAGGCCGGGGGAGGGGGGGGGCGGCTCTCACTGCAGTGAGACCCCTCTAGGGCTGGAAGCGGCCTGCGTGGGCAGGGGATCCGCAGAATCCACCGCGGTACGATCTGCCCAGAAAAGCTGAGCCAAGCAGGTTTCCCAGGGAGCGCCCCTAGGCCCGCACAGACGTCCCCAAGAGCTCTCTGAGTCCGCAGTCCCCCACCCCGCCAGACTAGCAGGGGCTTGCTCCGGCCCGCAATCCCAGGAGGGGCGGCACGGCGGGCGGGGCGGTCTGGTCACACCGCCCTGGGGTGTGGTTCCCGCGGCCCGGCCAGGCGGGGCGGGGCGGCGCGTTTAAGGCGCCGGCCGGCCGGCCCCGGCTTAGTCGAGCTCTCGCTGCCACCACTGGCCCCCATCATGGAGCGGACGTCGCTGCGCGCCCTGCTTCTCGGCTCCGCCGGGCTGCTGCTCCTGCTTCCGCCCCTCTCCTCTTCCTCCTCTTCCGACGCCTGCGGCCCCTGCAAGCCGGCCGCCTGCCCGCCCCTACCCCCGCGCGGCTGCCCTCTGGGCGAGACCCGGGACGCATGCGGCTGCTGCCCGGTGTGCGCCCGCGGCGAGGGCGAGCCGTGCGGGGGTGTCGGCGCCGGCAGGGGGCACTGCGCGCCGGGCATGGAGTGCGTGAAGAGCCGCAAGAGGCGGAAGGGTAAAGCCGGGGCAGCAGCCGGCAGCCCAGTGGTGAGCGGCGTGTGCATGTGCAAGAGTCGCTACCCGGTTTGCGGCAGCGACGGCACCACCTACCCCAGCGGGTGCCAGCTGCGTGCCGCCAGCCTGAGAGCCGAGAGCCGCGGGGAGAAGGCCATCACCCAGATCAGCAAGGGCACCTGCGAGCAAGGTGGGCACTAGCGCTTTACTCTCCAGGCGGCCCCGCTACGTCCACAGGCAGCAGAGCCGGGCGCCCCCTCATGGTTCGACAGGGTGTGGCGTCCGCGGCTGGCACACTCCGCGCTGGTCCCCGCGGCTCCTATCCCAGGATCCCAAAGACTGAAGAGAAGGAGTTGGCAGTCGCGGCTATGCCTGGAGGCATGATGACGCCAACCCGTCTCTTTTTTGGAGGTTTTATTTTGAGAGTTTGGTTCTTAGGCCAACAAAGTGAGAACTCGCGGAACAGAGAGTATACATAGAAAAGATTTTCCAGTACCTCGAACTCCTCCATCCCAATAGCTCACTTAGCTCATCAGGCTAACAGCTAGGAAGTCCATTCCTAAGAATTGTCCCTACTTCTTTGGGGACTCAGAGATGCATTTTCTCGTCATTCTTTCTTGGGTTAGGTGTGTAGATAGAAGTGAAGTCAAGAGGTGAGGGAAGAGAAAATGGAAAGGAGTTTGAAATACAAGTTCTTACTTAAGAACTTACAGAAAAGTTGTTAGGTACGTTTAATTGCATCGATTGTAAGAATTTTAAAATAAGGTTTCACGGTATCTTAGTACTAAGAAAAATAATTCACCTACTAAAAAAACCAGATTCTCAAACAGTAATCTGGATAATTATTTGTGGGCAAAAATATAATACAAACTCTTCGCGGAGTGTTTTTATGATGAAGTTTATGGTGGGAACTTTGCGACGATTTTGTTTTTCTGTTTCGGTTCGTTTTTTCAGTAATTCGTCCCCAGGATGCACTGTTCTGCAGGAGATTATGTTTGATTGTTTTATTTTATTCCAAACAGGTCTAAGCTTGCCATAAATGAAATGGGAACATAAAGTCTAGACTTGCAAAAGAATAAAAATAAAAAAAGTAACAGACATTTTAACTCTAATGCCTGAAATAACATTTTCCATAGGCAATAGTTCCAAAAGAAAGTTACAAATCCAACCTGGCAGCTGGTCTTCTGGCCCCAGCCAAGGTAGAAAAAGGAGGGGAGGCAGTTCTAAGGAGGTGACAGAAGCTGTTAATTCTTTAACACAGCTCAGACTTTGTCCAAACTTTTCAAATAATACTTTCTTTGGAGTTTTACCCATAAGTCTATCTGGATATAGGTTATATGTCACTAATTTTAGAGGTCAGTGTTGAACGCCTTAAATGATGCAATGCCTTAAAGCATGTAATTCGCTATTTCTATTATCATCACATTAAACTTAGGAAATCACAACCCAAAATAATCTGCATGCTCTTCCAACAGAAACAGTCATTTGTTCCTTTGGATCCAATTTACCAATCAAATCATGAAAAAATAATTGTGTACAGTTTAAGAATTCATTCTAAATATTGAGATTTTTCTTATATGCATTGCAAGGGGAATTTTTTTTCCAGAGTCTTTCAAAATCACTGGTATTTGATAGAGCAGAGGCTAGGTGGTTGTCGTGTTGTCAGTGTTGTTGTCGTCTTTTATTGTGTAGCTAGTCTTATCTCCTTTTATTTTCTGCCACTTACATCTCTAAATACACAATATGGTTATAACCTATTCAGAGAGAGGCATGTTGAACCAGTCTCATTAAGTGATAGTCACACCATGTACACCCAGCTCCTCAGCACCCCTCTAGAGTACAAACCCTGTGAGGGTATGGACCTGGCTTATCTTTGTTTTGAAAAATCCTGGAAGAAATAACATTTAAAACTGGAAATCTTGACATAAACCAGATTTTCCTTCCCAACCCAAATTTAGATCTAATGTCTGACACCATTAATAGGAGAATCAGAAGAGGGTAAAAAAGAATGTGAAATGCACCCTAGTACTTTCCCACTTCGTAGACAAATGGGGCTAAAACCAGATTCCTGATTTCTCCTGATTCCTGGATGTGTTTTGACAATTACAGAACAAACTGTACAGAATGCTGTTTACTATTGTTCCATTCAATACTGGGGCTCTGCAAGGATAAGAAATTCATTTTCTAGGTTCCTCTAGCCAATTCTTTCCTTAGAAAGAAACTTGAGTTTATGCTTCCTCAAGTATTGAGAGCAAGGGGGCACTGTGGAACTTGGCCACAGTCCTGTGATTCAGTCTGTATTCTATTCTATTGACCTCACGTAACATGTATTTATTGAGATGTAACTTACGTCAACACTGTGCTTGGTGCTAGATAATCCAGAGATGAACAAACAGATCAGGTCTTGCTCATTGAGAAGGTATCCATTCAAGTTGCAAACTCACCTCCCAGAGCACTCTCCCTACTAGCCTGGAGACACTCCCAGTCTTTCCCCTTGTATTCTGAGATCACACTTACCCATCTTCCAGGGGGAGGTTTTGGTCTATTAGTTTTTTGTACCTTTTGAAAGAAGACAAAGCCATCCATCCAAAATCTATCCTGATGTTAATGAGTTAATAATCTCAAATTTTAGAGATTATGCTCCAGCCGTAATAACTGTTTGCCATTCCTATTCAATGTTTCCTATTTCTTCATGCCCCAGTGCCTTTGTACATGCTTGTCTTCTGCCTGGAATGCCTCCCACCATCCTCACTCACCTCCCCATCCTCGTCCCCAGCACAGTGTTACAAATTTAGTGCCATTAGGTCATATTGGGGAGCTCTGATGGTGTAGTGCCTAAGGCATTTGACTGCCAACCAGAAGGCTGGTGGTTCAAACCCACCAGCCACTCCTCAGAAGGAAGATTCGGCAATCTACTTCTGTAGTGATACTGCCTTGGAAACCTAAGGAGGGATTGCTGTGAATTGGATCCAACTCACTGGCAATGAGTTTGGTTTTTTTAGGTCATATTGAGGTCCCTGAAGTCATGGATAATCAGAAGGGGCAGTTTGGTGCTGTGTTTAAAGCATTGGGCTGCTAACCAAAACATCAATGGTTGGAACCCACCAGATGCTCCACAGGAGGAAGATAATGAAGTCTGCTTCCATAAAGATTTACAACCTTGGAAACTCTATGGGGCAGTTATACTCTGGCCTGTAGGGTTGCTATGAGTCAGAATCAACTCAGTGGCAGTGGGTTAGAACATGGTGCTACTTTCTTCCAATAAAGTACATCTTTTTCTCATCTTCCTTTACATCTGAACTCCTTGGCAGTCCCATTTCAGCCACTTTGGTTTTGGGATACCGTCTCCTCTACTTCTCCCTCAGCATTATTTGTACTTATGGAATCAGAGTCTTATTCTTTAAGCATCTCCCTTCTTAGTACCTTTAGGACCAAGTCTGAGCTAGCAGTGCATACGATGCTCTTTACAATATGTTGTTGTTAGCTGCCGTCTACTCTGCCCCAGCTCATGGTGACCCCATGCACAACAGAATGAAATGCTGCCTGGTTTTGTACCATCCCCATAATCAGTTGCAGATTGGACCATTGTGAGCTGTAGGAGTTTCAGTGGCTGATTTTCAGAAGTAGATTGCCAGGCCTTTCTTCCCAGTCCATCTTAGTCTGGAAGCTCCACTGAAACCTGTTCATTATCAGCAACACACAGACCACCACCAGCAGATTGGTGGTGGCCACGCTTGAGGTGCATTGGATGAGAATCAAATCCTTCTCTCCTACATGGAAGGCAACTGAACCTTCACCATATAACTGCCTTTTAATATTTTGGCCTCCTCTCCAACCTCCTCCACAGACCTTATGCTCCAGCTGTGAACTGCCATTCCCATTTCAATGTATCATATTTCTCCATGCCTCCATGCCTTTGTACATGCTTGCCTTCTGCCTGGAATGCCTCCCACCACCCTCACTCACCTCCCACCCGCTCCCCCAACACACACACCACCCTCACTTATCTTCCCAACCTTTGAACTCCTACTTAGCCTTCAGGAATCAGCCCATATCACTTTCTCTTTGTAGCTCCCCGACTCTCCCTGCCTCCACGATAACCTTTGCTTTCCTGGGGCTCTAGAAGTCATTGGGTGGTGCAGATGTGCATTCAACTATTAACCCAAAGATTGGCGGTTTGGACTAACCCAGTGGCACCACAAAAGAAAGGCCTGGCAATCTGCTTCCAAAAGATTACAACCAGGAAAACCCGGTGGAACAGTTTGATTCTGTTATACCACTTACTGGCTGTAACCTTGAGCAAGTTACTTGACCTCTCTGCACCTGGCTTTTCTCACCTGTGAAATGAGGATTATAGTCATACCTATCTCATAGGGTTGTTGTGAAGATTAAATGTCATGAAGCTTTCCACAGGAAGCATTCAGTGAATATTAATTGGTGTTATTATTTAACTTGAAAGTAAGCTCCATGAGGAAGGGGCGTTTTTGTTCCCTGATGTATCCGTAAGGGCCAAGATCAGTGCCTGCCATGTAGTAGATGTTTTAAACATGTGTTGAATGAATGAAGGACTTTACCAGATATTCCTCTAGTTTC